CAGCTCATGCTCAGCAGGGAATGTAAGGTTCAATCAGGGAACCATATAAGAGCAAACGGAGTTGCACTCAACCAGTCACGAAAGCACACTGGCAAGACTTGTTTACACACAAAAACACAAACACACACAAAGAAACACAAAATGCTGGACTACAGCAGCAAAGGACATAAACACACAGGGATATCACAATGTAACACTACACTGTCCTATGAGAACTGTGTTCAGTCATTTGGGATTCTGATGCATTTTTTATATGTTAACTGTTTTGGTTTCGTACTGTTTCTGATCAAAAAAAGAAATGATCAGTGATGCATTCTCTGTGTACATCACCGTTCCACTGTCACCTCTTTACTCTCCATGAGATTCTCCATGTGATTGCGCAAACCTTTCGCCGTGCACCTCAACCTCTTCTAGCACATTGCAGCTCGCAGTGGAAGGCAGCAAGGAGGGTCCTGGCAAAAGACCTAATGGAATATGAAGCACCCTTGCCTGACCATGGTTTATGCATTGTTTAATAATGTAGGGAGTGATTAATAAGAAGTATCTAAAGCAGTACAGCATGGCACAGTAATAACTGGATGTTTATGTTAGTCTCCTATAGAGTAAGATAAAACAAAATGGTCACTTTTGTTCTCACATTTCTTCATTGCTGCCTGATGGTTATATTTTTTTTTCTTTGAGAAGTTACAATTAGTTTATTAATGCCTTATGAAGACGGTAAGTATCCTCATGTCCAACTGCCAAACAGTTTGTACTGTATTTGGAAGTGGTTCTAAGAATGGTTTGTTTATGCTGGATTTTTAATTCTGAGAAAGTAAATTGAAAATGTTATTGAAGCAAAGGTTGGAAAGGTCAAACTTCAAGAATGAGTTAGTAATGAAGTGAAGAGGCCATTTTTGAAAGACATTTAAAAAGGTGATATGTTATATGACTCTTGACAGATTGTTTATTTTATGCTGGATGATAAAGCCAACTTTACATCTTTACAACACTTCTGTAATTTAGATTATTCAAGTCTGTATGTACTGTTCATTGAGGGAGCAGATAATGTTAATCAAAAGGGAAATCTAAACGTATGCCTCAGGTTTTCTTGCAGCACTCATGTTTGATTCAATGAACCTGCTGGATATAGATAGAAGACAACTCTTCCATTCTTGAAAAAACAAACAAGGATAAACTCCCAAGTACATTAGTAAAAAAAATCTTGATGAAAAAAAAGAACATTCCACATTTACATACACAGGGTGCTTTTTAAAATTGTAAAGTGTTTTTTGATTTCTTTGCCATGACAATCTCAATCCCCACACGCCCCTTTTCAGGGGAGGTACAGTCCTAACGTGCTCACGCCATCGTTCATTTCCCATGCAAATGCTTGTAATGGCACTTTATGTATAATCCAAGATGTGCTGTGACATCATTAAAATGTCTTTATATGTACAAAGACTGGTGGTGGTGGTTTGTCTACTCATGTGTAGTAGTCAGTGAGGAATGAGTCATATTGGAGACCTGAACTCAGCTTGACCCACAAAAGGGTGTGTGCCTTTGTTTGTTTTCATACATGCTAAGAACAAAAACAGGGCTAACCTACCACATCAGGTCAGGTGTGTTTTTTTTTTTTCTGTTTGTTTTACATGCATTGTTTTAAACAGAAAAACCCAACCCATTTATTTTAGGTTGCTAAGGTTAAGGTTAGAAAATTCCATCTATGTAATAACATACATAGAATTCACATTGAACATGAGTCACTCCATGAAATAAGTGTTGTTTGAGTGCTGTGTAAAAGAGACAAAAATGTGCTAATAAGTATTTTTCAAGCTTAAATATACAACCCCATTTCCAAAAAAGTTGGGAAGCTGTGCAAAATGTAAATAAAAACAAAATGCAATGATGTGCAGATCATTTAAATCCTATATTTCATTAAAAATGGTACAAAGACAACATATCAAAAGTTGAAACTGAGAAATTTCATTGTTTATTAAAAAAATATATGGCAATTTTGAATTTGATCCCAACAACATGTTCCTAAAAAGTTAGGACAGGGACAACAAAAGACTGATAAAGTTGTGTAATGCTAAAAAAAAACAACTGATGGTTGATTGGCAACAGGTCAGTAACATGATTGGGTATAAAAAAGCATCTCACAGAGGCTGAGATTTCAGAAGTAAAGATGAGGAGGGGTTCACCACTCTGAAAGACTGCATGTGCACATAGTGCAACAATTCAAGAATAATGTTTCTCAATGTAAAATAGCAAAGAACTTGGGACTTGTTTTAGCAACATATGCTGCCATCCAGACAGTGTCTTTTTCAGGGTAGGCCTTGATTATTTCAGTAAGACAGTGTTAAGCCACATTCTGCACCTATTACAACAGCATTGCTCCATATTATAAGAGTCTGGGTGCTAAATTGGCCTGCCTGCAGTCCAGATCTGTCAGCGACTGAAAACATCGGGCGCATTATGAAATGAAAAATATGACAAAGGAGACCCTGAACTGTTGAGCAGCTGAAATCCTATGTTAAGCAAGAATAGGAAAACATTTCACTTTTAAAACTAGAGCAGTTGGTCTCCTCAGTTCCCAAACGCTTACAGAGTGTTGTTAAAAGAAGAGGTGATGAAACACAGTGGTAAACATGCCCCCGTCCCAACTTTTTTGGAATGTGTTGTTGGCATCAAATTCAAAATGTGCATATATTTTTCAAAAAACAATAAAATTTCTCAGTTTCAACATTTGATATGTTGTCTTTGTAGTATTTGCCTTTAAAAATATGGTTTACATGATGTGCAGATCATTGCATCCTATTTTTATTTACATTCTGCACAGCATCCCAACTTTTGTGGAAATGGGGTTGTATTACTGTATTGTGTATGTATATACCATTTGTTTTGGCAGTAAGTGCATGTGTACATGTACAAGCACTATTATCATTAGAACACATGGAAATTAAAATGCACTAAAAAAACAAAAATTTCTTATTTTTGAGAAAGTAGCTGATATGTTGTAATCTTCTTAGAAGAACACAGGTTTGGTTCCAGATTTGTCCTTGATAGATTCGGCCATCACATAAATTTGTTAAATTCCTTCAGAAGCAAACTAGATTTAATTTGATGAAGCACTGATTAGCCCAATTAGGTACTGGATGATAGCTACAACTAACTTTTCCAAAACTCCTCCGTGAGAAGAGGTTTGGAAATGCTTGAAAGGACACACTGACATACATAAAACCATTGTTTATTAATGGTATTTGTATTTATTTATACTAATATTGTTGTTTTTTTCTGAGCAAATAAATACTTACTGCCAGGATAAATATAATATTCTTAGGTGCCTAAAACTTGCACAGTATGGTGTATCGCTGCTGTCGGAACAAAACCTTGTATCTCTGAAATGATAACTTTACAGAAGAAGGACAAAACATACTTTACTTTTAATTAAGTCTTTGTGATAAGATTTTTTTACAAGTCACTGAGATTGTACCCTTGAGGGTACCACCCCAGTGACTCTGTGTTGTGCTGGTATGAGTGGATCAGACACATCAGTGCTGCTGGAGTTTTTAAACACTGTGTCCACTCACTGTCCACTCTATTAGACACACCTAATTTGTTGGTCCACCTTACAGATGTAAAGTCAGGGACAGTAGCTCATCTGTCGCACAGTTTGTGTTAGTCATCCTCTAGTGGCCATCAGTGGTTACAGGACGCTGCCCTCAGGACAGTGCTGGCTGGATTTTTTTTTGCTGCTGGACAATTTTAGTGTGTGTGTGTGTGTGTGTGTTATAAAATGAGCCATGACTTTCACACAGGCCACATTTGTGATTTTTCCCCCCAATATGTTAAATTCAGCAAATAAATGGTAATTGTGCATTAAAATGTGCAGAAGTGTGCTCAATCAATCAAATCAACAGAACGTCATTTGACCAGGTGTGCACAAACTTTCTCTTTTCACAAAATATATGAAGTGAATATAAAAACATCACTGCAATGTTCAACTTACATTTTTATATTTTACAAAATATAAAACATTTTACAAAATCTGGCTACCCCTTCTTTCTTAGAAGAGTCCTTCTCGTCATTTGATTACTTAACCATATTATAAACCTACCAAACTCATCATTACTTACATTTATTTCATTTTGTCTGTTGCATCTCTCATCTCATCACAAACCTCATAACATTTTTATTAATGTCTTTTTTCTCTTTCTTATTAGACTGACAGGGTTCTTGTGTGTGTTTTGTTGTTATTCGCTTTGTTTTTTTTTTTATTTTTGGAGAGGGGTTTGTTGAAATATTCTATATATTAATGGAAACATTGGACACCCATATTGTCACTGAAAGCTTTAGTTTTAAGATATATAATGATTTATCTATCACTGAGTTTTGCTTTCCATCATGTCTCACCAACTTATTTAGCCATAAAAATAATGAAGTGTGATCACAATAAGTGATATCATTTAAGGCTTTAGGAGAGGCTTTCAAATTTGGTAAATTTGGTAAATTGTTCTCTCCATCAGGTTCCTTCAACCATAACATGTCCACCCTGACACAATAGACAGAGTTCATAATTTGTTTTTTTGTTTATTTGTTTGTTTTTTGGCAATATTCACATAAAGGTCTTGTGATTTACTGCTGAACTGCTGAAAGACAACAGTGGCAGCCAGTTCAGCCTAAAATATTCCACCTGTCACATTCCCTACATCTCAGCTGCAGCATGATGGGGTTGTTCTCTGTTTTTTTGCACACAAAAAATAAAAAATATGTTTACTGAGATGAGATAATCTGGTTTTGGTAAGCACAATATCCGTTTTACACTAAAGAGGACAAAACATTGATTTCTTGACATGATATTTCCCATTAGCGTGTCCATTTGGCACCATCTCCCCGAATGACTCATGTATGACCCCCCGCGTCCCGACACTGTATGAATACGAGCGCGTGTCTGTGTGTGTGGTGTAGCGCGCGCTTGTCGCCGCATGGTGGCGCACCGCGTGCTGCAGATGTGTCGCAGATTTTAAAAGTCACTGTACTCACAGAAAGATCTAGTACGAGGAAATGGAAGGGTGAAAAAAAAAGAAAAAAAAGCTTTTGAAACTGAAGCTAAAAACAAGCCTGCGGAGCGGAGCTGAGGAGGAGCGGAGCAGCGCAGCGGAGCAGCGTCGTTCAGCCCGATCTACAGTGAGTTTAAGCGAACCGAAGCTCCGCCGCTGCGTTATTTCACACGAGCCTGGAAAGCGCCACTGAAATCTGATGGAACTGTCAGCTATCGGTGAACAAGTGTTCGCTGTGGAGTCAATCATAAAGAAGAGAGTGAGGAAGGTAAGTGAGGGGCGCAGGCGAGGCGTCTGGGGTCTCTCACGGGCTGCGCTGTAGCTCGCAAAACTGTTCAGAGACATTTTTTTTCTTTTTTATTTGAAGCGGATCCGTGTTTACATCATTAACATGAGCTCATGCTTAAAGGGAGCGTTTTGATTTCATCCAACCAGGAGAGAGAGAGAGAGAGAGAGAGAGAGAGAGAGAGAGAGAATGTTATGAAACCAGCTGCTGATCCAAAATCACTACAGTGACTTGTGACTGAAGTTGGAGATTCAATGCACCGACTTTAGCTGTTACATGCGTTACTGAGGCAGTAGCCCACTTTCTGTGCTCCTGTTGTGCGCAGGCAGCCTGAGTGTGACAGAAAATGACGAAGCTGCTGAAGCTGTGGCTCTGCTACTCTCTCTCTCTCTCCCTCTCTCTCTCTCCCTCTCTCTGAGTGAGCTGTATGACAAAATGTCAAGTGTAAGAAAAAAGCTCATTGGCTGAAAAAGCAGCGGCTTCATGTCTGTCATGTAAGGTTGCCCCTCCCGTCTGCTGCTCCCAGCACCCTCCCCCCACGCCCCCCGTGTTTTGGACCACGCTTTCTTTAAACGGGGGTCGTTTTTTCTGGTTCGTCATTTCTATATTTCCTTTGACGCCAGAGGGCTCGTGGGTCGTTACGTCATCGCGTAAGAGTAGTAAAGCTGAGCGCGAGACGCTCTCAGTTCAAATCATTTAACTCATTAATGTCCATCTCTGATGTTCATTTCACTCTGGTTTCTATGGAAGTCAGTTCAAGTTTATATGTACAGCGCACTGAACACATGAGGGCAACTCAGAGCGCTTTACATAAATAAAAGCACAATAAAAACAGCATAAATAAAGGACAGACTGAAGACAAACTGCTTTAGTGTGGTTAAAATGAGCATAAAAACTTAATAAAAATAAAACAATAAATAATACAGTATTACTGTAGTCTTTTCTAGAACCCTGAGTGAGGAGGATCAATAATCAATTATTAATCAATCCATTTTTTTATCACTTCTCATTTAATTAAGCCTTTGGCCACACAACTGCGGAAACCCTCAAGGGCTATGGTTTCGCATGTTTTTCTCTCCGTGATAACGAGTTATTTTCATTTGTTTTCTTGAGATCACGTCATATTTATGTCATTTTCAAGACAAAACAAATGTTGTTTTATCTAGATCTCGAGTTATTTAGATCATTACCACGACATAATGAACACTGTTTACTGGGACATTTGTTATGTTGTGATAATGGCATAAACACCTCGAGATGTCTAGAAAACATTTGTTATGTCATGATACTGATATGAGTAACTCGAGATCTCGAGAAAACAAATCAAAATAACTCGTTATGACAGAAAAATAGATTTAAAAAACGTGAATCCATGGTCCTTTACGGCTTGTATACACAACTGATATTTAACTAAACGACAGAAAATCCCATTTTTAACTGTAAATAATAATAAAAAATACATTTTTTGTAAATTTAAAATTGTAAATATGAAAATAACATAAATACATGGATTTCTCTCTCTGCTGTATATTCCAGGCATTCCACACATTAGGCTAACCTAAATAGCAGCAAGTGAAAGCTGAACATCTTAGCAAAGACACAGACATTGGGGATGGTTGGGACAATGCTGAAGGGCTATAGTTTTCAAAAAATTAAGCAACAAATAGAAATAATCAAACCTAACCACACAAAAAATCATATTAAGACATCAAGCCAACCAACTCTGTTCTCCTCTAATGGAAAAAAAATTAAATGAGTACTGTTAGATGTTTAGATGTTTATCGAAGGTAAATTATTCACAGCTTCATCACTGTAGACACATTCAAACAAAGTCTGTGGCATTTTCCTGATCATACTAAATGTAGCTTTTGGATTTGAATGGATTAATTACTCTCTCTCTCTCTCTCTCTCTCTGTTTAAGGGGCATGTGGAATATTTACTAAAGTGGAAGGGGTGGCCTCCAAAGTAAGTATGAATCTGCAAGCGTAGTGATTTATTCATAGATTTTTTTTTTAAATATATGTAACTATGATTAATAATGAGTTTGATATGACAAAAATATGAAAAATATGATGGTTATTAGTAAATGTTGTAAGCATTAAACACACAGATGAGCCAAAACATTACAGAAGAAAGTGAATAAGGTTGCTGATCTGGTAACAGTGGTGCATGTCAAGGTCTTGCATATATATGACAGTAAGCGAACAACTGGTTCTTGTAGTCTGCGTGTCGGATGCAGGAGAAACGGGCAGGTGTGAAGACCTTAGAGATCGTGATCATAATGGCCAGATGCATGCGTCCGAGCATCTCTGAAATGTTAAGGTTTGTGGGGTGCTCCCGGTCAGCGGTGAGTACCTAGTGACAATGGTCCAAAGAGGGATAAACCAAGAACCAGTGTCAGGGTATTGAGTGCCCAAGGCTCAGTTAAGTGTGAGGGCAACGAAGGCTATCCCATTTAGTCTGAACGGAACGGAAGGGCTACTGTGGCACAAGTCACAGAAATGTTTAATGATGGTTACGGGACGAACGTGTTACAACACACAGTATATTTCACCCTGCTGCATATGTCCACCCCATCTGCCATCGAAAGCACCTACAATAGGCACGCAAGCATTGGAACTGGATCTAACAGCAATGGAAGAAAGTTGCCTGGTTTGATGAGTCTGTTTTCTTTCACATTACATGGATGGGTATGCGTGCCCCATTTACCTGAGGAAGTGATTGGCACCAGGATGCACTGTGGGAAAATGATAAACTGGTGGACAAAGTGTGATACTCTGGGCAGTTCTGCTGAGAAAACCTGGGTCCAGGCAATAATGTTGATAACTTGAAACTTTGCCTACTTAAACATCTCTGCGGACCAGGTACATCCTTTCATGGCAGTAAATATTTTCCAATGGCAGTGTTCGCAGAATAATGCACCCTGCATGAGTGATTAGAGGAACATGATGCAGAGTTTAATATGTTGACCTGGCTTCCAAACTCCCCACATCTCAATCCGATTGAGCATCTGTGGAATGTGCTGGAACAAGAAGCCCAATCCATGGCAGCTCCACCTTGCGACTTACAGGACTTCAGAGGTCTTGTAGAGTCCAAGCCTCAGTGAGTCAGAGCTGTTTTGGGGGCCACAGAGGACCAACAGCATATTAGATGTAACGTTTTGGTTCATCAATGTACATGTGTGTATTTTTCATTCACAGGTACAGTACCTGGGAGCCTGAGGAGCATATCCTGGATCCTCGGCTTGTTCTAGCATATGAGGAGAAGTGAGTTTCGTTATAATTTAGGAATCAAACTGTTTGCTCTCTTACTTAGCAATTATTAATTTATGCTCTGAATTTTTCCTTTGATTTGCAAATAGAGAGCACCGAGAAAAAGCGGTGGGCTGGCGTAAGAGAGGACCCAAGCCAAAGCGTCTTTTTGTGCAGGTACTGTCTGCTGCGGCCTCTTTTGATCTTTTACTCTGTTCCTACCAGCTCTCCACAACCTGCATTGATGAAACTTTTTGCTGTATAGTTTCTCTCCACCTCTCTCTACCTTATAGAACATTTACACCATGGACCTCCGCAGTGCACAGAAAGCTGCAGACAAGTCTCCTGCACATCTGCACCTGTCTCTCACTCGCTCGCTCGACCCACAGATCGACCACATGGACCAGAAGTTCCAGTCCAAGGGAGGCGCCATATATCGGCAACTAGTCCAGCACAAGAGGAAAAAGAGAAGCTCCAGAGACCCGTCGGTGGAGGACTGGGAGGAGAGGGAGGAAGAGGATGATGATGAGGAAGAGGAGAGCACTAGAGAGGAAGAAATGGAGACTGACAGAGCCACTCCAAACAGTATGTTAGTTTGTCAGAGGTCAAGCAGAAACACCTTGTTGACCCAGTTTTACTGCTGCAGTACTGTTTGTCAACCCTCATTTAGACAGCTGCACTGGGCAAAGTACCAAAACAGTAAGCCTCTCAATGTGGTGTAAAATCAATGTAAAAAAAAAAAAAGAAAGAAACCTGCAAACGTGCAGATGCATACATGTGTAGTTTTATAGCTTAACTGTAAATATGAATGAAATACCTTTTTGCATTTATATGGCTTCATATGATGATTACAATACACCTTACAGCATATAAAAGTATACTGGACAGCCCTTGATATACAGCCATATGCAAAGGTTTGGTCAAATTACGTGTTTTGTTGACTTTCTTAGTGAAAATAAGAACACATCCTCTACAGAAAACACACTTTTAAATGCACAATTACTGTTTATTAGCTGAATTTAACACATCAAAGGAAAAACATAAAATGTGCCTTATGGAAATGTTATGGCACATTTTATTTTCAATATGTTAAACCCACCTAATAAATAGAAATTGTGCTCTAAAATTGAAAGCACCGAATCTGTGTTTCTGCTTTAAAGAAAATTTGCATATTTAAGTGTGTTCTCTGAGGATGTGTATTTATTTTCACTCAGAAAATCGAAGGTGTTCAAACTTTTGCATATCTAATATGGTGAAAGTTCTCAGGATGCTCGCACCGCACAATGAAAAAAACCCAACTGTGATTTGGGTATAGGGCTCATTTGCCTTTTGTAGCCTTTTTGAGATACCAGTATTGCAAAGGCCAATATTATGACAACAATTAAAAATGATGCATTGTGCAGCCAGATATTATAATTTTAGACATGGCTGCATCAGTGCTTACCTAGAGCAAGAATTGTAGTCATTTATAGTTTCTTATTTGTCTCTGACTCACTGCATTTTCATTTTTTTTCCTGCACTATAGCTGTATATTTTATTATAGTCTTGAAATAAATCACAATTTAGTGTTTTAAAGGAATAGTTTGATGAAAAATCAGATTGACACAATTTTCCACTTACCCCAGATGTAGTCAATTAGCCAAGATATGTTTGGTGACCACATTTTGCTTTTTTAGTTTAGTGGAGCTTGGAGGCTAACGCTGCAAACAAACACTAGAGGTCAAGATTCACCCAGATCTTTTCTGTAGATACATTCGCAAAACTTTTGTTCATTTTTATAGTTGATAGTGATTGAACCCACATTGAACCCTCTCACATCTGTATGTTTGGTGTTTGCCTCACAGGCTCCTGCTTCTCTTTCTCAGGTAATGTGGGGACAGAGGGTTGGAGTTCAATAATTGGATCCAAGGAAGTGACAGTCTCTCCAACGCGTGAAGAATGGAGGCCAGTCATGGGTCCAGAGGAGGTAACAGTGACAGATGTCACCATAAATTCGCTGACAGTTACTTTTAGGGAGGCACTGGTTGCAAAGGGCTTCTTCAGAAGCTGGGAACTGGAGTTCTAATATTGAGACTTGAGAAAGAGTGAAGAGAGAGAGAAACAGAGAGAAGTGGTATGTGAGACTTTAATCAAGTGCACTATGTTGGGACGTTTTGACATAATTCATTCTATTGCATGACATTCATTAACATTTCAAGGTAAATTTATGATTAGTACAGTCAACATCCTCAGCGTGGAAGGAAATCCCCATTCATGCTGCATTTACTTGCACTGTTACATGTTAGTTGAGGAGGACCTCCCTATAAGCCAGTAAGCTTTTTAGCTTTTCACAGTGATTCCATAAACTCTCATTTAAGTAATTGAAAAGGTACTGAAAAGCTGCACTCATGTAGTACTGTAAATAAAGTACTATTTTATTCAAGTTGTATTAATTACAATTGTGGGACCGTGGTACATATTGTGTATCTACACTAGTGTTCAAAAGTTTGGATTCACTTGTCACTGTTAACTGCTGTTATTTCAATCAATCATAACTTACAGTATGGATTGAAGTACTTACATTTCAAGATGTTATATTTAATATTTCAAGTTGTTCAGGAAGTCTAAGGTAATTTACTATTCATAGTCATTTCATTATAAATTATCTGCCAGGGAATTAGTCATCACTTCTCAAGGCAACGCAAGGCATTCTGAATAATAATTTATTATAATAATTAACTTAGTTTTCAGTGTAATGCAGCTTTTCCAAATATCAAATGTCTGTTAATCACTAAAAGTTTTATTTACAGCCTCCTACTAATGTGAAGCTGTAGAGTAATAGCTCCATGCTAATGAATCATTTCATGTTTCTGCAACATTTTTTTTTAGCATTATCAATTTATTGCCGACAGTGATCCCAAAGTTTTCAGTTGTGATTTTAAACTTTTGAAAACTAGTGTAACTTTGGGAGACTAAACTGATTGAAGATCTAAAATGATTCAGGGTGTTATGATTCATCTGAAATGGTCAGCGGATGCAGGTCTGCTATTATAAACTCTATGTGCCCAATAAAATATTAGTCTAATAATGAATCGTCTCCAGGGCAGTAGTGAAATCACGCATTTCATTAAAAGCGTATTGCATTAAAACTACTGTCATTTTTAATAATGGAAATAAATAGACCACAACGTCTTTGAAACACTACCAAAAATAGTAAAGAAGCACCTGTAATCCATTGATTGACACTCCAGTTTGACTTTCAGTTGAACAAAATTGTACCATTTATTAGAAAAATGTACAATTTAATCCACTCCAAAGCTTAGATCACTCCAGCTGTACTTTTCTTTTTCCTTTTGTTAAAGGGGAATTCCACTGATTTTTCTAAATTTCTGCATAATTAAATGGTTAAGATGTAAGGCAAGTCATTCAGAGTGGTTTGATGTGTAATGCTCCGTTCTAGAGAAACTTGCAGAGTTAAAATTTTACAGTGGTGGTGAGAGGAACCAGAAGTCTGAAGAGTTCAATGCCTCTATCTCACAAAGTTATCATGAGAAATGGCTATGGATATGTGGTCAAATGCCTGTTTTATGATAGTCCTGGGATAAGGTTTTGGACTAAATGTATTTTTAACTAATTCATGACAGAGAGGCACATGTAGGGTGCTGTAAGGCTAAATGGACCCAACAGAAAACATTTTTTCAGATTTACCACCATTTTACCATTACCAAAACACAGAAGACACATAGGTTCACTGGTCGTTTTGGACAGTTAATAAAATGGTTATATTTGTGTTGATGGACATTGTGACCTCTGGCTCCTATCACCACCACTGCAAAAACATCGGAATTATTAAGTTTCTCTGCAGCAAACCATTTTGCATCAGACCACTCTGAATGACTGTTCAACGACTGAATTACGCAGAATATTTTGAAAAACTCCTTAAATACCAAGACCTAAAATGTTTTAAAATACATTTTGGTTGAAACTAATTAAGCTAACTAATTAATTGGCACTCATTTTTACGCTAAGCTGGTACAGAAAGGTGACAGGCACCTGTGTGGGCAATAAAACACATGCACTTATGTAGTCTTAGCATCCCACAAATAGTGCAGACCCATTATATTTGGAATAGCGCACATTTATGGGAGATTAGTGTCAGAGTTGTCCGATTACTGTCTTAAAATGAACAGAACTTTGTCCTTACTCTCTGTATGTCATGCGTACTTTTAGACTAACATTCCAGTGATCAGTGTGATGGTGTCGGAGATCAAAACATTGAAAAAGTAATGAAATCTAAGAACAGTATTCTTCCATTGTTTTTCACTTGTTGCTGTATTGACAATACATATCATACATCGATGTTTCTACCAACCATGTAAATATATACAAAGTAATACAGCACTTTGTAGCATCTCCGTTTTGTTGTTCGATTTAAATTGTGTCCCACTTTATCCAGCCATTGCACTTTAGTTGCAATGTGTGCCTATTGTCAAACTTTGTTATTCCGTTGAAATTGAATATAATGTATATTCATACCAAAAGGTAATTGCATCAAACTACACTGCAGCAACCTATGTCTGACTTGTTTGCCTGTTGACAGCTGAAGAGAACTGAAGACAATTTTGTCTGTATTTTTCTATGCTGATTTGAATGTATATTCAAGCAAACCCTCTGGGGACTGACCTGATTATTTTGTACTTTTCTTATAATTGGTGGTAACTGAGTAATGAGACCTGTACATACTTAATATATTACCAAGTTATCTGTGGTTGCATTTGCTTCTCTGAAAAACTGCACTTTAAAACAGATAAACTGGTAGTGTGATGCTTTAAGAGTAAATGGCAGTATTTGTACTATAATTATCTATTAGACATGTGCTTTTATATTGTAATAAAGCTAAATGTGAGAACTTGATGGCACTGTACAGTTTTTTTTTCACTGAAGGATGCTGAAAAGGTACAGAAAACAGAAAAGCTAACTGAAATCCAGTTATTTAGTAGTATTTTGATAAGGGATGCACTTGCGTGGGCATCCTGGGCCGATGCTGGTATGTTATATTTTTCTTGTACATATCTGCCAATGTCAATACTTAAACATTTCAAAATTGATGCTATATCTGCCTGATTTAGCATTACAGAGGAATGTAATATTTACTTGAGGAGGGATACAAATGCAGTAAAATGAATGAACTGCAGACATTTTAGCACAGTAGCCCATCACCACCTCAATATTTAGAGTACAATATATACACAGTCCAACATCAGTTTGAAATCAGTCAAATCCGATTTTGTAAATATATAACATGCTGATGCGCTTGTGATACCATTGTGCATTCCTAGTCTTTAGCTACCTTCATATTACAAGCCTCAGTGCTCAATTCCAATCTTTCTAACTCAAAAGTTCACATTTCTATAGGTAAATACTACTACTCCTAATCAATAAGGTCACGTGACTGAACCACGTTAGTAAGGAACAAACTAACCAGCAGGACAGGCCTGAAGATGTGTGAAGACAAACTGCTATGGACAGCTTTCAGCTGTTCATTATTTAGAGCAAGACGAAGGTAAAAAAAAAGGTAAGATACGCTGCTTTTGTAGTGCTTGTTTGCACTATGTTTAATAAAGACACTGATGATGACAAGTTAGGGCAGCATGGGCTAGGGCGGTATGGCGGTTATACGGTACACCACGGTATGTAAACATAACGACAATATCTCAACATTATGACGTGTCAAATTGCTATTGCACGTCCGAACTGATAAATAAACACGTTTCACCATTTACATATTTGATTGGTGGTGTTTAAGCTCACCGATAACAGAAAGAGTGGGGCGGGGGGCGTCAGAGACAGGAAAAAACTCGGAAAAACTAAACATGACAGCAGCTCAGCTACGGCAAAGAGCTACAGGTACCAGAACTGCACATTCTCGGTACACACCACAGAACACGCTCGAGCCCAGCTTTCACTCCTGTCACGCGACCCTGCGCGCGCCTCCGTTTAAACGGGTGCGCCGTTCTGGAACATCTTCAGGTAAGATTAAAGTAGAGAACAGAAAACGAGCGAAAACGGAATCAGCTTCTTCTAATTTTTCTGGTCCACCTTAAAAGGACACAATCAGTTACATCAGAATGTAACAGTTAACGTTAATTGCTGCGCCATTTAAGGTGGAACGGGAAAATTCAAAACAAGAAGCTTGCAAATAGCAAGTCAACTTTAGCATCGTAAAAAAACGAACTTTACCGAGCCAAACCAAAGGCCATACGACTATCCGGACCATCATAGGGAAGCTAACGCTAACTAGCTCCTCTCTAGCAGCGCTGTTTAACATACAGCACTTGTTCTATTGACGGTTTGATATTAAATGACTTGAAAATCGTGCACTGTTCACGTATTTGGTGACAATGTAAAGCGAACCATTTATCGACCCTAGAAGAGCCATCTTAAAAACGTTGTCAATGACTTCTATCACCAGACCCCTCATCTCAATTTTATAACCACAAATGCCGTCATACACCGTGTACCCAAGTGAAATGCCAGGAAGGTATTAAGGTATGAAATAATTAAAAATAGATACCGTCCAAGCCTACACTTAAAACGGTGCAGGTGTAGTGAGGGAAGACCCACATACAATCTGACCGTTCTTACTAAGGTTGCATGGCCACGAGCGGGATATATATTTAATCTAGAACCACACACGAAAGCGGCAGAATTAAACCAAATTAGAAGCCATCTGATTACCATTGGTACAAACATACTTTAATGTACAATTAAATAATTGGCAAAAATCTGACCACCAGAATAACTTAAAAAAAAAAAAAAAGAGAGAGAAAAAAAAGAAACCAGAGCATCAAATATTTTTTGCTCCTCTCAGCAAACACCAAAAAGTGTTAGCATGAGAAAAGTGGTCAAAACGTCAACAAATCACATGGTCTTTTTCCAGTCTGTATGTTTTTAAAAAGAGAGAGAAAAAAAATCTGTTCAGTTACCATGGTTTGTACAGTGAATCATTATGTATATATTCATATATGCATGTATAAGACATTTCATCAAAACGGCATGATACTTCTCAGCAGTCCCCAAGTGGGATGTATAAGGTATGACAGCAGTGTCATTTTGCATCACCATTACATCTTTAGGAAAAGTGTCATTTATCAGCTCCTGTTTCTTCAAGTTTTTTATTTTTCCAAAAATTAAATTAAATAATATATCTTTATATAAAAGACAAGTATCTCATTTTTATAAAATAAGTCTCAAGCCATATTGCCACTGTTTGTCATGTGGTTATTCCCCACCCCCTTTACCAGTCAAACTTATGAAAAAAAAAAACAAACTGAATAGGGTTGTTGCTGTCTTTTTCCCGTTCATTCAGAAACTGTCCTCTCCATTTTATCCAAAATGCACAGTAGGTGCCCTCCACAGTGTGTTTATGTTTGCGTGCAACATGGAGACAAAGAGAGCCAGCACTGGCTTGTTAGTACACACCCATCATGTTCAAGTGAAAACCCCGAAATTTAGTACATACACAACTGCAATAGTACTGACCAGCACCCCATTCATACAACCTCATGGCAAAATGTGTCAGATTGAGCTTGCTTGCTCTAAGCTGCCCTAAAGTTCTACAACTCCTAAGAGCTTAAATCAACAGGAAACAGCAATAGAAAATTCTCACAAGTCTATGCCTGTCTGCCCATTATTACAAAACAAAAAAAGGTCCAGACTTTTCTTTATACAGTAGGGAAAAAAAGAAAGATATCTGAAATCCCAAAGTTCTGAGCATTTAAGTCATAGGGAAGAGTCAGGGGAATAGTTCCTTCCTGGGCAAAGAATAGTGAGAGCACAGAGTCAGCGAGATGGAAAAAGAGGATTAAAAGGTTGCTTCTTCGAGATATCCACATTCCCTCATCAGTTTAGTCTTTGTGGTACAAATCACTGCACTGTGTCCTAGGAGCGTAGCACACCTGTAGTGTCAGCAGTTCTATTACCGTTCCAACGTAAAGGGACAGAATCGATGAATGGAGCACACATTCACAGAAGAGGGTTCATGGAAGTGGGAGAACTGTGACATGCATAGGAGGACAGACATTTCCCATGCAATCTGCCATCAGAAAACACACGAACACTCAAAACTTCACATAATCCCCACCCCCCTCCCCACAAAACTTTACAAAAAAAGAAAAATACCAAATATAAATGTATTAATTTCTTGCCTGATTCTGTTAACAAAAATATACTCTTTGTGAACTGTAGCTGTCTCAAACAGAATATGCCATCACATGTCTGGAAAAAAGGAAAAAACATGAACACTGTAGGGATATAAGCTGACCAAGAGAATGATGGTAATAAACAGTAATAATTGTTAACCACCACCAGCTATTTCTGAATCAAATTTAACACTTTCAAAAATGGGTACAATCTTGACTGTGTATGGAAGAAAAAGAAAACAAAAAGATCTATTGTGTTAACATGTTTTGTCTTTAATTTTATGCTTTTAAAATCTTAAAAAATATCTATAAAAAAGGCAGACCCCAAAAATATTACTCGTCATATACCAAGGAGAATTTTTCCCATCCTTTAACCCCAAAACCCTTTGAACGCAACTGGCTAAAAATATATATATGTATATATTAACAGCAATAACTTACCATTCATTTAATTTATTAATTTGCGCATTTAATGTAGTATCTCCCATAGGAAGTTGTATTTTTTTCCATTTACTTCAAAAAATATTAAATAACACTAATAACGACAGCAATAAAACAGCAACCCAATCCAGGAAATCAGGCCAGTTCTCTGAGGACTGTAGTGCTACATTAGATCTAATGAGCTGTGATTAATATTTGTCCCCATGTCTTGGTTGTTGCCAGCCAGCATGTCATTAGCCCCCTGCCCATGCAGAGCCCCCATTCCACCAAGCTGTGAAAGCATAGTGTTCTGGTCTGACCCAAACTGAGCTTGGTCCAAAGAGTTAGCCTGTTGCTGCTGAGATGGCTGTGGTGGTTGTTGTGGAGGTGGTGGAGCCACCATGCCAGTGTGGTGCTGGGGAAGATGACCGGGGTGTGGAGAGCCTGTTTGGGTCTGGGGAGAGATGCGATGGGGAGAAGGCTGGGGCTGCATGCGAGGAGACGGACTGGAATTGGGTGGCTGAGACTGGGGCCGTGGTGATGGCTGGGGTGACCGCACCTGGTTGCTAAGGGAAGTGGGCAGCTGCTGACCCTGCAAATGGGGAGACTGGGACATCTGTTGCTGAGGGCTCATGGGATTGTTGTGCTGAGCAGGAGACCCACCACCTAGGTGCTGCTGCTGAAGGAGCCTTTGGTGCAGTGCTTGCTGGAGCATGGCCTGGGGAGGCTGAGGCTGGGAACCACCCTGAGGGGGCGGTAGCTGCTGCTGGAGCGGACCACCACCACCTCCTCCAGGACCTCCATCACCCCCTTGGAGCCCAGTCATAGCATTCTGCTGCTGCTGCTGCTGCTGCATCTGGTGCACCCTCTGTTGCAAAGCTGCTGCCACCTGCTGAGACATGGATCCCGGGTAGGTCTGCTGCATGCCAGGCTGGGGTCCTCCTTGCTGCTGCTGGAGTCCACCAGCTTGAGGTTGACCAGGCTGCTGAGGAGGCATGCCAGGCTGGCCAAGGTAACCATGCTGCTGCTGCTGGGGATGCTGGAACTGACTATGATTTCCCATCTGTTGCTGCTGCTGCTGTTGCTGCTGTTGTTGCTGCTGCTGCTGCAAATGTTTCCTCATCAATTCTCTGAACTGGGGTGAGATATTAGACATGTTGCCTTGACCGGGCATAACTCCTTGCTGCTGCTGCTGCTGTTGCTGCAAAGCAGCCATTTGCTGTTGCTGTTGCATATTCACACCCATCATAGAACGCTGTTGAATCTGCTGCTGCTGTTGAAGTGGATTCATTGGGGGCATGCCTGCCCCTTGGCCCATGTGCATACCTGGCTGAGGAGCCCCAGCATTTACATTTACCTGCTGCCCTTCCATGACTGTTGGGCCTGCACCTCCAGCTCCAGGACCACCTCTCCCAAGGTATCTGGGTACACGTTGCTTGATGAAGGTGGCCATAAGCTGAGGATTTGAGCGCAGTATATTCAGGACCTGTTGCTGCTGGAGAGGGGAGCTAGGGGACCGAAGAGTTCTTAGAAGGTCTTGCAAGGCACTCTGTGAGAGACCTCCAGTGCCAGTCCCTGCACCTGTAGCCCCACCTGGGCCACCCATCATTCCCATCACTCCCGGATGCCCTTGTTGCTGCTGCTGTGGAGGAAGCTGCAGCTGCTGTTGAGTAACCTGCTGCTGTTGTTGAGCTGGAACCATTCCTGGATGACCCATTTGGCCCATCATTCGCTGCTGAGGGGGCATGCTGGGTGACCCCCACTGCTGCTGCTGTGGTGGCTGAAGTGGAGCCCCACCCTGCGGAGCTTGCTGTGGCAACTGCACCTGAGGAGGAAGTTGGTTCTGAGGCCCTCCTTGCTGTTGCATTCCTGTTCCTATCTGGAGGCTCTTTTGTTTAGCCATCTGCCGTTGAGTCTCCGCCACTCGCTGAATCTTCAACGCCATTTCCAGGGCGGCAGCCGGGGGACCAGTGGGCTGCTGCTGGGGAAAGTTTGACTGCCCTGAATTTGTCTGTTGTTGCTGAGGCAAGTTGGCTGGGCCCATGCCTGGTTTCCCCATAGAATTAGAGAGTGGAGAAGAGCCTGGAGGTCTTTGCACATACGGAGGAAGGCTGTTAGGATGCTGAAGCTGCTGCACTGAAGGTGGCTGTGGTTGTTGCTGTTGTACCATTTGCTGTTGTGGAGAGTTTATCATCCCTCCACCTGGAGGCAGTTGCTGGAACTGATGATGCTGGACCATTCCTGCCAGCTGCTGCTGTGGGCCACCTGCAACCCCAGGTTGGGGTACAGGAGGTGGACATTGCTGAGTGGGAGTCTGTGGCGTAGGAGGTTGAGTGCTTGGTGTGGGTGTGCCAGGGCCTGTAGTACCATTGTTCCCAGGTGATGGTAAGCCTCCATTTCCACCAATTGGTGATTGGCCTGTTCTTTGCATGCTGGCCATCCTTCTCCGCAGCATTTGGGCCTGCTGAACCCGATGCTGAAGCTGCTGCTGACGCAGTTTCTGCTTGATGTTGAGACAGAATGGCACAGGACACTTGTTCTCTTGGCAATGTTTAGCATGGTAACAGCAAAGTGCAATTAGCTGCTTGCAGATGGGGCAACCACCATTGGTTTTGCGCTTACAGCCTTTGGTGTGCTGAACCACCCGTTTCATCTTTTGACAGGATGGAAGTGAGCAGTTTGCGTTGCGGCATTGGCAAGCATGTACTAAAGACTGGATGCAACGCTGGATGCTGAGGCGGCGAGAGTCTCCAGGACTCTGCATGGAGGCTGCAGCTTGGTTGTTGCTTTCATCATCCAGGCCCAGTCCAAGCTTCTCCATCTTGTGCTCATGACCTTTTGTTTTGTAGCAAGTGATGCAAAGATCATAATCCTGTGATGGGAGAGAAAATGGTTATAGTAGTAGACTACAGAATAACTACACAGTTCCACCTAGGTTCTGTAGATTACCCAATATTTCATTTTAAATGCATGTTACAGTGGTAATTCTAACAAGAATGCCAATGACCTCTCTCCCTTAGACCACACCAAGATTTATTTTTATTATTTATTTTTTTATTCCTTACCTCACAAACAGTACAGTGGAAGCGCGTCTCAACATGATGTTTGCATTCATTACAGGTGTACACAAATCTATCTTGGCTCTGGTTGTGTAGCTCTACCAACATACACATTGAACTCCATGTAGAGCGCCTCAGTGAAGAGAACTCCAGGTGCTTGTCCCGTGCCAGTGTCAGGAAAGCATCTCTCCCATCCATCAGATCACAGGCCATTAAAGGATCCGGGTCGATTATGGGTGGAAGAGCATTGGAATTGGGTCCAGCAATCAGCCGGATAACAAAGAACACCTTACAAAGAGAAAAATGAGAACATTAAAGCTTTAAAAAGATCATTTTGCAACTCCAATGTATCTGTTAACAAATGCCTTTCATCCTACCTCTTTGTGCTTCTCCATAGTAGCATAAAGCTTCTGTGACAGGTCATTGGACACATTTGGCATCCCTGGTTTCTTTTTGTTGGCTCGGCTCAGACTGCTCTTGTTCTTGCTTGTCTTCTTATTGTTCTTTTTCTTGGCATTTTTGCTATCACCCTTTGTTGCCTGTAGGATGTCAAGCAGAACAGAATCAGATAACTTGACCAGTTAATGCAACCAGAGCTTGGAGAAGTGGATGCTTCAAACTTACATCTACACTTTCACTAGAAGTACTGTTCTCCTCCCGTTTTCTCTCTTCTTCCTCCTGTTCCAGCTCCTTAATGCTCTCTTCAAGCACATTGGGCCAAAAGTCACCTTCAAAATAGGGCAGTTCTTTGGCGCTGGTAAGTCGATCCTCTGTCGCCTGCTTGAATATGTCCTACAAAGGAACGAACAGGAGTTTTTTCATTTTGAACTTCTGTTTATACTCTTTGTAATGCCACTTACAGAGCATATGTATTACTTAGAGTACTTTAAATGCAAATGTACATACTATGGACAACTAAACTCATTCCTACCTTATAATCGTGTACAATACGCTCTGCAACAGCTTTATCCAGCATTTTCTTATACCACTCTTGCAGCCGCTTAGGTTTGGGTATTTTCTGGTCTGCAGGATGACAGTGGAATATGTAATCATCACCCTCACTAGGGGGGCAGGCCCAAATGTGGCCAGTGGTAAACCTGAAAGAAAAGCCAAAACAGAAGAGTCAAACTTTTAGCTGATCTGGGGTAGGCACAAGTGACAAACAATAATAAGAAATGCAGGTCACTGTGCATGTACAAAATGAAAAGGTTTTCATTAAGCACTTGTTTTATCTTGGAAAATATTAAAGGTAAAAAGTAGTTGGATTTTTACCCTAGTTTCTTGACATACTCCAGATAACCAATAAGAATCTCATGGTAGACTGCTGTTCTCAAACAGCGTGGCTGAAAAAAATGAACACTGTCCAGATAGGATATGTATACCCGTCTGTCGAAAGGAAAACAAACAGCATTAACAAGAGCAGAACCTGACTCAATGAGAAGTCCAGTGCGATGACATGCTTTCAGAAACCTCTATGCACATCTAAAAAGAACATGGACACATCTGATGGATCAAAGAAAGGGACACTATAAGCGTTCAATGCCTGACCTTTGATTTGGGGGTGGGCAGTCAGAACCATATTCCTGGACATGCATGCCGAAAAAACAGACATCAGCACCATCAATGTCCTCAAAAGCAAAGAGAGCTTTTGATCTATATGGGAAAGACTCTGCCATTTCACCACTGTCCACAAACCTGGGGGGAAGGAATAAAAAGGTATCAACATAATGAACAACAGATTTTTGGTTAAGATACACACTCTAAAACATACATTATACAAACAACGTGAGTCACAGGCAATATCAAAGTTTATAACTATTAGCCAATTTCATTTTCATACTTTTTATCCAGACAAAGCTGGATACAAGAAAAATATTGGACTGGGAAGTTTGTCCCAGTCCAATATTCAGATTCAGAGAATCCAGAGTAATCTCCATGCATAAAAGGGCAAAGCTGAAAACCAATACTGAATGCCTGTGACTTTCAATCCCTCAGACAGCAGTGCATTTGAAACTGACATGCTTCTGAAACGAATATAACTACAAGGCATCAGGAATATCTTGGAAAATAGTTCTTGGAAATAAATGGTGTCATGATCTCCAGGCCAAAGAGGAAAAGGGCCATCCTGACTGTTACCAACAGAAAGTTCAAAAGTCAGTGTCCATCTGGGGGACGGTATTGGGGTGTGTTAGCAGCAATGGCATGGGTAACTACACATCTATGAAGGCACCATTAATGCTGAGGGGTACATAAGCATTTTGGAGCAACATATGCTGCCATCTAGGCAATGTCTTTTTCAGGGATGTCCCAGCTTGTGTAAGCAAGACAGTGCCAAGCCACATTCTGCATGTTACAATAGCATGGCTTCATAGTAAGAGAGTGCAGGTGCTAGACTGGCCTGCCTGCAAGCCTGACTTCTCTCCCTTTGAAAAAATAAGGGATATTATGAAGCTCAATATACGACATTAGAAACCCTGGACTGTTTGGCAGCCGAAGTGTTATTTCGAGCAAGATTAGGAAAAATATTCCACTTTCACAATGAAAACAACTGGCGAAAACAACAAGTAGGCCTGGGTGACATTTAAAATTAATTAGCACAATACTGCAGAGTTAAAAGATTGCGATTATTATTGCAAACACCGACCGTAGACGAGGATCAGTGGAACTCTGTCTCTAGGTTAGAGCTAACTTAGCAGCTCTATTCTAACTGTCATTTGAGCTCTTTTTTTCTTTACTGCAGCGAGTCACTTTGAGATTATCTGAAGTTCCAAAGCACGTTGCCATTCATTTTTGATTCCATTCACATATAGTAAATTAAGGGGAACCCATGCCGTAAAGCTAGAATTACAGTGCGTAGCGAGAAATAACACAGGCAGTTTAACAAACCTCCCCCTCTCTGTGTGTGTGTAAAACTGACTACTGGTGTGCACGACTGCACTCTTCTTAAACGTGAACCCCAGTTTCCCCAACCTATTTTTCAAGCTGTTTAACTGCTTGAGTCTCTCAGCTTTTACCAAAGTAACAATTATCACATTTTACACATCACCATCGGGTTACTTGTCCATAATTAACGATATCCGGTTACATGACCCTAATCGCCCAGGCTTAGTCCTCAGTTCCCAAATGATTAATGAACGTTGTTTAAACTAAAAAACGTGGGGCAAAACAGGCCCCTATCCAGCTTTGACATCAAATTTAGGATAGGCACACATACACCACCACCCCCCCCCAAAAAAAAAGTACTTGGAATATTAAAACACATTGTCTCTGTACTGTTTTCCAATTGTATATGGGTCAAAAAGGATTTTGTTCTTAGTCATATTTTACATACTGTCTCAACATTTTTAGAATTGGTTTTGTAAAAATGACTGGTTAGCAATCATAGCACAACCATCTTCACAATCCTTGTGATATTTTGAATAAAACTATCAAACAATAACAAATGACTGTAGCCCTACATGTATAGTGAGCGTGCAATTCTGCTCACCTGGACTTCATGCCTGGTTTGACCTCTACCACCTTATCAGAGACATGGACAACTCTAATTGTGACTTCACCAGACTCTGGGTGGCTTTGGCGCTTCAGATAGTCGTTAATCCGAGTTTCTAAGAAGTTGCCCAGTTTAGTCTGCGGCAGCCCTAAAGGGGAAAAGCGTGTTTACAGTCATTATGCTCAAAGATGTTACTGATGGTTTACAAATTAAATCATTAGTATCATTTGGTTAGTTGCATTTTAAACTAACTGCTTAGAACACAAGAGTCATTCTCAAAAGCTCAGCTCAACATACTTTTAGCAGCATATTTATTCTCTTTACGGGTCTTGTTGGACATCTTGAGACACCCATTACACACAAAGCTGAAAGAACACAAGAGATACAGGTTAGATAGGCTGCTTAGTCACTGAAATACAGTAAATCAAATCAACCGAAAGCCTAATATGACATTTTCAGCACTAGGAAGACTTACCCTGATGGCCAAATAGTGTCATTGTGCAGAACACATATCTGATGCATTTTCCGCCCACAGTCCATACATTCCACAAACCTACAAAGAGAAAGAAACAGACAGAAAAAAACATTACATTCAGCTCTTGAAGTATGCATAACATGCACCTCAACACATCAACCAAAGTAAATTCATCATGGCATATTCAAAGACAAGCAAACCCCCAAGTAATACAAGGCAATCAGCCACTGATAAAAGTCTCGCTGGGAAAAAACATCTCATGGCTTGGGTGTACTTTACACAAATTATGCATTAATATTCACAAAGTTTCTCAGATTAGAAAGGCAGATCTAGGATCTCTTCTGGTCAGCAAGATCAATAAATAAGACATGAGTCTGATCCTAAATCAGCACTACTGCTCTAAGAAGCTTTGTGGACCCAGAGCTAACAAGAGAATAAATTAACTTACAACTCAGGGTCAAGTGTGTCATTCTTCTTCTTTTCAAACTGGTCCTTGTTGATGGACCTGAAACATGTGACATTTTCAAACAGGACAAAAAGTTCAACAACAATCAAACAAAAAGTTCAACAAATCAATATTTATGTAATACACATAAGGATCAATGTATGACCAAGAGAGATACTCACGTCTGAGGCTGGGATGGATCATCCCCTAAGGACACGCTCTCACCCTGGATCTCATTGAAACACTTCTCACAGAAGTGGTACCTGTCAGCAAGAAGCCCATATTTTGGTGAACTATAACATTCACCAACACCAGAGCCAATCACAGAGAGGCCATGAGGAGGCAGACACCAATCAGTGCAGGGCAAGGCAGGGCAGGCCAAAAGGGAAGCAGGCACAGATGAGGAGCGCAGAACAGGGTCGTCGCCAGAGGAGCCAATCATGATGCACGGTTTTTGAGCAGGGGGTTTGAGAAGGGGGGGGTATGGTGCAGATGAATGGTCAGATGAAAGCAGGCCATTGCAGACATGACAGGGGAAAAAAGGGTGTTGGGAAGGGAGAAAATAAACATGGGACATTGGACCAGGGGAAGTAATGGACGGATGGACACAGAGACAAACAACAGACAAGACAAGCAGAAAGCCAAAGCAAAGCACAGATTAGCGTTTGCATGTGTAATGAGTAAACCATCACAGCTAAACAAGGGCAGAATAAACTGCAGGGGGAGGCAGGGGTGAGGGGAAGCATTTACAGACGCATGAGCACATTAAACATATACACACGCAGCATAGGCAGAACTGTCAAGGTACATTTTTGAGGTCCTCTCTTGTAAAAGGCACAAAAATGGCATGTATATGAAGGGTTTCACTCTAAAACGCATTATAGACCACATTCAAGATTTTTTTTTCCCATGATGTATGTTGTTGGAAGTAGGCTTTACACGTAACATCAAGTAACATCAGTGCTATATTATGATTGATAACACATTTATTAGACAAATATTTTTTTCCATTATACGTCAGCTGTTATTCATCTCAAGAACTTATTATATCCAAAATTGTTAAACTTATTTATAGCATTTTAGAATAAAACTCTTCATATATTCTGGGCTGAACAGCACAGTTTATTAGGTTACAAATCACTGTCACATAAACCTTGTAACATTATCTAAACATTTCATAGCTAACAAAGCAACACAAATGGCCCAAAATTACATTGTTTAAAATGAACATTTTTTCAATGTTTCTGTAAAGTAACAAAAACTATATATATATATATATATATATATATATATATATATATATATATATATATATATATATATATATATATATATATATATATATCTTGATGTCAAGACAAAGGGACAATTAGTTAAAATTAGCTTTCTACCAGTAGGCAAACTTAATGCTGAACATTCCGAAAAGTATTGGAGAAAGTAATTAGTTTTTAATTATCCAGCCATCTTTACAATCATTTACACAAAGTATCAGCTTTACTCAAGTTTGGCTGCTGGGGCTCAAAAACGCCATACCGTAACATGGCAATGAGGATTTTTGCGAGAGAATGTGTTTGGTGGCAGTTGCCCCAATTTATGTTCCTTACCTGTTTTGGTAACTAAAGTAAGCAGCATCTCGTGGTATAGTGCATAGCTGCTTCCCATAGCAGCAGAGAGTTTGAGGGGAGAACTCCAGCTGCGAGGGGGAAAATGTGATGCAAGAGAAAAGAGAGAAAGAAACAAAGCGATGGGAACAGTTACAAACAGTTATATGACAACTAAATCAAATCAGTGATTACTGATTAGACAAACTCATTTCATTTTCTTCCAGTCACATTTAAGCAGTACCTGTGCAGTGAAAAATAATCAACCCACAGTCCCGACACCCACCTTTCTCCCACAGCAATAGCCAAGGCTCTGCATCACAGGGTCAATCTCCTGCTCAAACACCTCAGCCAGTTTAGAGCAGTACTTGTAGACCCGTGATGTCTTGCGGTTGTAGAGCCAGGCATTATTGAACATAAGCCAGATGTCATCCACATACTGCCATGGCTCCTGATATTGGCCTGTGTCAAGTTTCCGTTTGATAGTAGACAAGTCCATAGGATTCTTCACAATATCAAAATAATCCTTAAATACAAACAGAAAAATGTTGCTCATAAGACTTAGACAATTACAACTGGGTTCAGTCTGTCATATTTACAAACTTATTTGTGAATAGATATGGCATATCATTATGTACAGGTATAAAATGGGGTAGATATCAGCACAAAAAGCTGTACAGCATACTGGAAAGGGAAAAAAAAAAAAACATTAATCTGATCTACTCCAGTAACAAATCTAGCCAGAAATTGCACTCTCATTCAATTAAAAATAAATTTTAAAAGTTCGTATTTTATAAAGAAATAATCATCAATATCCATGTTGACCAATACTAGAGTTTCAATATTAGTCTCAGAAAAGAGAAAAAAGTCACTGTGCCATCGCTTTTTGTGGGTAGGAGAAAATATCAGAAACAATATTTGTTTATACTAGGACATTAAAGACCAGTTAAAAATGTGACTCAAAAGGTCACAAACAAACCATGAGTATTAATAAAAGGACAAACAAATGTGTATGTAAGCATGCATCTAGCACTTAAATGGCGTAAACAAGTGCACTACGGAGAACCATACAGGTATTCCTAAAAGTGAGGGATCCACAGGTTGGCGGAAGGGGAGAGACTCAGGGTCCTGTCGATAGAGAGACTCCAGTGTGGGCATCAGAGCCTGTCTCAGCTCCTCAGGTTTGAAGACTGTTGAGACAAAACACAGTTTCAAAAAACACACAGCGAGAGAGGTTAAAAGATGTTCACGCATTCAGTTATTCAATCAGTGTTAGGCATAGAGATACTTAGCAAAGCATATTGTTATATGCTGTGACAAAAATCATGAAGTCGATAAATATAAATCACATTGCCCGCAACTATATCAAAATACTATGGTGTATTGTCTGTGGAAAGGCTTAATGATCTCACTCTTCTTTTTAGAGGGCACTCCAGAGTGTGAGCTCTGGGGGCCTGTGGATCCCGAACCAGCATCCTCCTCTTTAGGCTTAGTCTTTATCTCAGGCTTTTTGTCCTCCCCTGCCTCTGTGGATGTCTCCATGAGTGTACTTTTGCATTCTTCACCTGATATCTCCTCTTTCTTTATCTATGGGCACATCACACAGAACGTCTTACACCAAGTGGCAAAAATAAATGAATAAATGAAAACAGAAACTTTGCCTTGTGTTAAGCCATAATCTCATTCCTGCTCAAAGTAATTGTCTTCGGTCTTTACCTCTGGCTTTTCCTCTGTTTTTAGGTCTCCTTTCTTTCCAGTCCTTCCTCCCTTCATCGACTCATCTGCCTCCTCCTCCTCCTCCTCCTCCTCTTCCTCCTCTGGTTGCTTGACCTCCATCTTGGGCTCAAGGGTGGCAGTGATGTCTGAGGGAACCTGCTGAGTGGAGGCGTCTACGCTGCTGACAGAGGCAGGAGTAGTAGCTTGGCCATCAACCGGCAGAGAGCCCTTTTGAGACAACTGTAATTGAAGTGAAGAGACAAAATCAGATGTGGTAATCGACACTGAATTATATGACATGGCACACTGTGAAAACAGCACCTGTTATTAGTACCATCATTCCTGAATGTAATTTTAGTTAATTCAGCATGCTGCAGGATGGGAACACTTACTGGAGTAGGCGGATGCTGGGGAGCAGCGTTGGGTGTTGCTGAAGTCCCACCTAATGGCTGCTGTTGCTGGAGTTGCATGGCTTTGTCAGAGTTTGCAGGTTGAGGTAACTGCTGCTGACCAGCACCCGGAGCCAAAAGGGGTAGACTGGGGGTGTGGGGCTGGGGGGTCTGCGAGCCTGAAAGGCTTGGAGGAGGTGTGAGGTGTGGAGTGGGCGTGCGGCTGCGTGCTGGAGAAGGAGAGCTCTGTCGGACGGGTGGACAGTGCGGAAGGTTCATAGACTGAGAGGGGGTCGATGACGGGGGCATGCCAACTCCACCGTTGGGACCAAGAGAGCCCACTGAAGCCCCACTGCCCATTCCTCCAGCAGAACCAGGCTGGGCTAAAGGACTACTGGCTGGCAGAGATGGTGGGGTTGACATTGGCCCCTGCTGAAACAACAAAACACAGAAGTGTTTAGAAGACATTAATAATTCAAATCAAAATTAAACATGTATGACCACATTACTTCCATAAAACAGGGCAGGACCTTGCTGTGAGTGAGTGACTGAATGAGTGAAAGACATATCTACATGTCACTACTAAAATATTTACAAGGAGAAGCACCAAGTACCTGAGTTAAACAATAATAAATTATATAATAATAGTTTCTGTTAAAAAGTAATACTCCCTCACTTTCCTAAAGGACTACAGTACAATGCAGCTTCACAATGTTCCTGTCCTTGATAATGAGCTGAATTACAGCAAGAAATCATGAGATTTCAGCGTTGTGTCTTGAACACAACTACACAGGAATTTACTCTTACCTGGGCCATGCCACCCTGAGTGCCAGGCTGCGCCATACCAACAGGACCAGAGCCAAGCAATGGGCTTGAACCTGAAAATTGGCCAGGGGGTAGGTACTGATTCTGCATTTGAGCAACATTTGGTCCTGCCATCCTTGCAGGCCCCATACCCATCTGAAACATTAAAAAAAAAATAAAAGATCAAACATAAGCACTTGGGGTAAGACTGTCAGACATTAATGGATAGCAGCTTAATCAGCTCCAGGTCAGAAAGAGGTACCAAGGTACTGCTGGAACTCCTCCAGCAATAAACAGGTCTACAAATGTCTCATCTGTTGCTACGGCCATGACATTGGAAATGGTATGTAGATTTTTTTTACTTATTTATTTATTTTGAAGCTTGACAAATCATCTAAATTTTGCACAACTAGGGCCTGAATGATATGATCATTTTGTTGCCGACATTGATAGTCAGTCATTCTAAAAGGGCTAAAAATTCCAATAGTGTTTGTTAAATCACGCTTTACTGACTGACTGGTCACACTTCTAAACTCAGTCTTCTAAACATTGATGCATTGGAGCACAGTTCATCATAATTCTTTAAGCATGTGGTTTCTGGTGATTACTTGTTATTTTTCTTAATTTTTATTTGTTGCATTCATAAATAAAATGTAGTAGGCTCAAAGTAAGATTTGGTTACATTTTACATGCTTTGCTTGTTATCCACAATTGTGTTTTGTGTTTCAATTCAGCAATTCAGCCTGTATTAGTCATATAGCTTAACACCACCCGAAGGACTCCTGATAAAAGCAACTGAACTAGTAACTTTACCAACCTGATTGAGGGGCGCATTGAGTGGAAGAGGAGGTGTGGACCGCTGACCCATGGCCTGCATTTGATTAAACGGATTCATTCCTAACCAAAAGAGAGGCATATTAGTAACACTTAGCATTTATTTTCTCTAACATTTAACGTTTACCTCCAAGAAGAAAAACTGAAGCAACACTAAGCATCTATTACACTGACCAGCAGGGGTCTGCATCCTGTTCACCATCTGGTTTGGTCCAGTAGGACGCACCATTGACGGATCCGAGAGAGGGCCATCTGTAGTGAGAGGAAAAATTTATCAAGTTTCATCTGAACAATGGAAAGTGCATTAAATTACTGAAGCTCACTGGATTCCAAAATATTCAAATCTAATGATTTTATAATATGCCCAGGTACCAACTTGTATAACTTACACATTTGTATGTGTGCATACTGTAAATTAACTATGCTTGCACCTTGCATCCTGAAAGTGACCAGTTGTGTTAGTGTCTGTATAAGCACCGGTGACTAATCTACTCACTTGGGGGAAGTCCTGTAGGTGGCCCTGGCTGGGCCATGCCAGGTGGGGCCTGCTGTATGCCTGTGGGGGGCATTCCAGGTTGAGTGGGCATCATGCCATGCTTCTGCAGTCGTGTTCGCCGTTTTTCCTCCAGTTCCTTCTGGATCTTATAGATCTTCTCTGCCAACAGGTGGTAGTACTCTGCCTACAGGGGGGAGAATAAAACCTAAGAAAATGACTTGCCAAAAAAATAAATAAATACTAATAGGTGTGTGTGTGTACATACATATACATACATATATATATATATATATATATATATATAAAAAAAAAACATTGATAGTAATGATTCCCACCACACGACTGTAGGAATTCTTTACCCTGCTGTTTGCAGATTCATACATGTCCCCCTCTACTTTACGAGCATAAGCCACTAGGTTCTCCATACGCCGATCCTTCAACGCAGCTGGATCTGGAGTAGGGAAGATGGCTTGGACGCTGTTGCAGGAGAAGGAGGCAACAAAGACAATTGAGAAGATGAAAACTGGGATGTAGCTACATCCCTGTACGAGAATAAAATCATTTTATGTAATTTTGTATTCTCCCCCAGTAACACGCAGTATGAAGAAGTGCATACAGTTTATGCACGAGGTGGTTGCGCAGATCCTGGGTGATGTCCTCATGCCAGCTCTTCCTCATGCCAGGACCGGAAGCTGGAGTGGCCACAGGCATGGAGCCCACATTGCCCACACCACTGCTGTCATTCATCAGACTAGAAGAAGTGGAGGGAAACAATGTCTTTATAAATACATATCACAATTCATAATAGAAAACGGTGATCCTAATCTGCAGAAACCATATAGTGAAGTAGAAACACCACTCGAGAACCTCAAATCACAGGTTTCCAGAACTGAAACATGTTGGAAAAGTTATTTACTTACCTCTGAGAGTTCATGTTGAGATGCAGCATAGTATCTTGAAGAAGGTTAGATGGCTGATTCTGAGGTTGGACACCCACAGCCCCATTTACACCCATTGGGTTCCCACCTGGTAAAGCAAGATCCGCATCCTTTATTAGTGGTTTGCCATTATGGATTATTTAATTACACAGTAACCTCATTGTTTAAAATACTTAAGCAAATTCCAGTCTAATAAACAGAGGCCATTTTCCACACCTATCTTGTTTGCTGTGGACCAATTTAACTTCTTTAGTACTGTTTTAAATAAAAGGTGTGAACATCCCACCTGTACTCTGACACACTGAACAACTGAACCATAGACCACCAAACATTGCAAGTCTTGGCCTGCCTCCCAATGAACCATGGCTCAGTTCACTGGTGATAGGAATGCATTTTTACAATGGTCCACACCAAACAAGGGAATACAACAACATTGGAGCATGTTTTTCTCTTCTAATTGCAGGAGGTCAGAGCAGTGGAACACATTTTGATAGGTACGGGCCAGGCATCTGTGACCTGATTTGAGCAGCCTCAAACTAAAGCGTAATTAAACCAGTCGATCATAAAGTAGAATTCAAGGGTTTTTTTTGTTTTTTGTGCTTTGACTATGACAGATGTAGACGTTAATCATGTTTATAAGTAAAACAATACTTATATGCAGAATACATAAGGAATAGATCTGGATTTTATACAATGGTAAGCTAATGAAATAAACCTAGAAATGGTTTTTGGAGCACTAATGGAAGCAAACATGACAGCGACAGAGCGCGTGTATCTTTGCCAAATTCTCATCAAAATAACAAATATGTGGTACTATAGTATATGTGAAATCAAAAGAACCAATGAAAAAGATACACCGTTACAATGACCAAACTCTACTGCAGACTATAGCAAACAAACGTGGTGTAAAACCAGCAAGAGCATTCTGGTCTTACCCATTGTGTTGTGCGCCCGAGGTGTTTGCTGGGCAGGCTGAGAGGGTCCCTGGTTACCCTGGTAAGTGAGGCCCAGAGCTGCATAAGCCCTCTCAATAGAGCTGGGGTCTATCTGGCCTGGGGTGTTAAGATTGGGAGCACTGTGTGGACCTGGTGTGGTTCCCAAAGCTGGGCCTAAACCCACATTAGCAGTTCCAAGTAGGGCTGCGGGAAAAGAGAGGGCAGGGAGAAGAGTTAAGTACAGCTACAAAATACAATCTGCTGTATAAAATACTGACACAAATAAGGACTACAAGTCTTAGATAATCTGTATGGTGCATGCTCTATATCCATATCTCCATATTTGTTTCATGAAGCACACATTTGAAGTCAATTCAATATTTAGGAAAGTTGAGTGCCTATATATTGCCTGGTATCTAGCACACAAACCAGAGAGAGACAGCATCTGGTGGACTGATACACACACTCACACTGCTGATTCCTCTTGTCTCCTGCATTCTTCAGTGGCAGACAGACAGGGCAGTCATGCCGTGTGCAGTTCTTCCAGTGCGAGATAATCTGTCTGGATGAGGCACAGTGTGCCACTGCAAATTGGTTTGAGAAAAGTATATGTTAGTGTTTTAAGCTCTTATACAAAATTACAAGGGAAAAAGAACAAGTTTGTGAGACCTCCTGTTCCCTACAGCATACAACATGAAAATGCAACAACTTAACTGGGAATACAATTACACACTAGTGAACAAAAAAACAAAAGCATTTTAGAACATCAACTCCTGTTTAGGTCCTGCCTTTGACTCACCCTGACAGGACTTGCCAGCCTGGCAGTGTGTCATGTGGTTCAGAACGTTCTTCATGGTGCGGCAGTGGGGCAGGTTGCACTGCCGTACCTCCCCATTAGCTTGCTCACGCCGCTGGCACTTGTGGGCATGGAGCAAGAGGACCAGCTGCTGCTGTATGAGTTTGCGCTTCTCTGGGTCAGCTGTTGGAGGAACACCCACTGCTGATGCTGGGCCAAGCCCTCCCTGGGTGTTAGGTACCATACCAGCAGCCCCACCAGCTCCAGCGCCACCTGCTGGCGATTGCTGGGAAGCCTGAAAGTTCAAGAGAGAGAGACAGAAAATGTATGTCTTGGGTATGTAGCCGTTTTACACCATTAAAGAGGATATTTCACTAAAAATTACAGTTGGCCTCTGACCATGCTGCACCTTAGTATATGTAAACATTTTTTTAAAACAGAAAGGATATGCGTTTATAAAAGATTAGACTAAATGACTCATCTTTCATCAATGCGCTACACTATACAGTGCCAAAAATGTTGCTTTTTTAGTAACTGTAAAAACAAATAGAAACTTTTCATGAAAACTAATCCACACATGCTATCAAAAAACTAGAAGTGATATTTCTCATCAAATGTTGAATCAAAAATGCTTCACACTTTGTTGAGAGGTATGAAGGACAAGGCTTTTTGCACAGTCACTGCCACTCATCAGTGGAATAACTATTCACCATCTAGACTGCAAGTTAGTCTTTCAAACTCATCTCAAGCTTTGTATACTTTTAACATGAATGAACTCCATTTTAAATTAAGTTTATCACATTTAAAGTACTGCAAACTGTACAAAAATTATGGAAGCAAACCTGAATAAATGTATGATCTACTCACTATGGTTGGCATGCCTGGCATGGGCTGGGGTTTCTTGTCCATGTTGAACTGGGCCAGGCTGTTGGGCATACCTGGTTTGTTCATGAGCTGCGGGCCCAGCCCTGCACCACCCAGACCCTGCCCTGTGTTCTGACTATAGGGGCCTCCATAGGGGCCTGCAGATCCCATCATCCCCATCTAAGATCACAAAGAGGGAGAAAGAAAGAGGGATATATAAGAAAGAGACAAAAGGGGGTGGTTAGAAAGGAAGGGATCAAAGTTCCTTATTAATCATCATAATGTTTCAAGAAGGCACTATACAACAATAGATATAATAGCAGGAAGGAGTGTCTTAACTGTTTGCACATTTCTCCTCCACAGCTACACTTTTCCCATCATTTTCTATCCAAATTTATAAAAACATCCTATACTTCAATTATATTAAAAGGCAAGAGCGCTAATGGATTTAATTGATAGATTCAGAAATTAATTTTGAAATTGAATGACATAACCTTGCAGCTACAGATTTAGACTTTAACAACTAGCCTATTATAGCACAATTATGTATGTATTCTACAGGTTTCATATTCTACATTTTAGCCATTCTTTCCATTCCAGAAACAAAAATTACATGTCAGCTAGAGACTTTAATACATGTTTGAATGTCCAAGACACTTTTGTTCTGACAAACAAAAATCACCCAACTAAACGCAACAAGAATATGGAAGCTAAACCAACATCCAAAAATGATTCCTGACACAGCTGTCAACACCACTACTTTACCTTGTTCAGTGCTCCAGGCTGCTGTGCTCGGAGTCCTCCCGGGCCTCCTGCCGTCTGCTGCTGCAGGGTCTCTGCCAGCAGATTACTGTTACTGCCCATGCCTGGATTGGGATACCCCATTCTGGGTGAGCCATTCATCATCTGCCCTCCCATCATGCCTTGCTGCTGAGGCGTAGGCCCCCCTGCCTGCTGCTGACCATTTCCTTTCTGAGGTCCAAGCATGGCTCTGTTCATGCCGCCCACCATCCCTGCCATCTGTTGCTGCTGCTGCTGCATCAGGTTGGCCTGCTGTGGGGACAGGTGTTGTTGGCCTTGTGGGCCCATGCTCTGAGGACCCTGAGATGCCTTCATACTCCCCAAAAGCCCTATCGAGGCTCCTGCTGGGCTTCCTCCCTGCTGCTGTGCCGCTACGGGTGGTGCACCAGACCGGAGGAGCTCGGAGAGTTGCTTGTGCTTGGCTGCTGCATCTTGGCCCGTTCCAAGCCCTCCAAGCATGCTGCCCCCAGCTCCACCACCCAGGCTGGTGTGAAGCTGGCCCAGATCTCCTCCATTTGCCAAACCCAGCTCAGAGGAGCTGATGAGCTCATCTGGGAGGTCATGCTCCAGGTCAAGGAGGGAGCCAAAATCTGAAAAAAGTTTAACAGAACAAAAAAGATTTTTAAAAAATATACTGAAAAATCCCCCACAAAATTAAGAGCTGGTTACCAAATGTTACTGTCTAAGATGTCACTTGAAACTGGAAAACAAAAAAATAAGAATATGTCCAATATGTTTAACTGCTTTTCAGCAGCATTAACATAATTGCAATTTCCTCAATTACATACGCCTTTCTCTATCACCTTTTGCCTAGAGTTACAAACACGATAAATTTACATGACAAGGAAAAACAAACTTAAATCTTAAACGTACTTTAATATAACCCAGTGATTTTGGGCGATTTCTATCAATCTGTTCAAAATGAAATGTTGTGTGCTTTTCATGTGACGATATGCTCATATACTTTTAAAACTAGCAGCCAAAAGCACAGACAAGGTCAATATGGGTATCTCTATTCAGTGCAAGCCATGGTTTGAAAAAGTGCCAAACAAGTTGTAAGGTCAGAAGCCTCAAGGAGGTAAACAGAAGACACGCTGCTAAGAGGAGAGAACGTCTCAAGTTCATTCATATACTTTGAGACTTCTAACAAAACATTTTTTGCACCTCTGGAGGCATTCAAAATAACCATTTTATTTAATCTCATAACAATTACATCATTGCAATTCCAACTATCCTAATGAGTCTCCACCAGTTCTAATGCATTAATTACAATATGAGAAACATGCATTACGTTCACTGCATTGTAAAGACTAAGAGAGGATATACAGCAAACAAACTGTGTTCTGTTGTACATACTTTAGATTCAAATGTTCAGAATCACCTGTCATATAAATAACAATTCATAAGATTACACACAATTTAGACTGAAGTACTATAAACTAGATGCCAGAAAAGAAGTCATTTTAAGCAAAATGTCATTTTGTTTGGAACAGAAAAAAGTTATTAAATGATTAATACATTGTTATTATCTATTTATAATACTGTCTTGGTAGGTTTTCTGCCTGAGGTTTGATTACCACGTTTCAAACAGGAGGCATTTTGGACGTTAAGTTATACTTTGTTGGACTGTATTTTCCAGCTCTCTAGTCATTTTAGATTCTTCAAATGAGTTGAAATCTGCGAAGTTGTAGAGCAGCAGCATCATCATACAACCATTTTACACATGTACCTGTAACTTTTGTTATTGAAAATAGTGATTTCAACCTTAACATGATTTTGACTCGACTCCACTGATTTTAGAAAGCTTAACCAGTCCTGTGTCAACGAGGCTATTTAATAAACAAACTGTAAATCAGAAGTAGCTTTTCCAGCGACATATATAAATCCGAAAGAAACAAAAACGCTGTTCTGCGTGATTAATTATACACTGACTGCGCTCCCGAAATACTGCAATGACTATATAATGTGCCATTCGCAAAATATAAAACTAAAAAGCGAAAAACACTGCGAGCAGTGATACAGAAGACCATTAAGATCTGGACGTGGTTTCGAAATTGTCGTCTCTGGGTGCACTTAGGGAACCACTTAGCAAGCAGTTAACGTTACTGAACTTTAAATAAAATCGAAGCAAACGATGACCAAGTTGACCATATCGGCCTGCACGTATTACAAAACGTATTACTAAATCCTGCGTTTTCTTCTTAGTATGCAAGTTCGTTATTGTCATGACTAAACAATGGAAACAGATGTATATAGATGGGGAAGAAAAAAATGACCGAAGACAATCGGGTGTTTGAAACAACTAGCTAGCTGGACTAGCTCGACAGGCAGGCAACTCGGCGAATTGTGGTCAACACGACGATATAACCAAACCTTGCTTGGAGCAAACGATATGAATGGTGGTTGAAGGTGTTTATTTCAACTTAAGCGGTTAGAAAGGTTGAATTATGCGGTGCCTGAAAAGACGAAGCCAACCTCAGTGAGTTAGCCAACTAGCTAGCTAACAATGCCAGAAGCAGCAGGAGTGTCGGAGTTGTAACTGGGCCTGAGGCTGCGGCGTTTACACAGTGTGAACACCAGCTAGCTGACCAGCTAACAATATCAGCGATACAGTCTCAATCACATCTCCGCGTCGCCAAACAACAAGAAAAAAGACAAATATACTACCAGGGCTAGCTTGTTAAACAGAAGTGACAAATGTATGAAATAGATTTATGCTTGAAACTCAGGTTAGGTGAAAACATATTATACTAAGTTAGGGCTGCAAGTTTTTCAAGTTGATTGGATAACAAACTAGCAACCAGGCTAATGAGCGTTGATATTTGTCGACTGTGGCTAAAAAGACGAAATCAGTCTCGAATATAACGTTATTTCCAAACTGTAACGTTAACAGTTTATAACAAAAGAAATAGATTTGGTTTCGCCAGTTAGTCCCCATTGCTACAAATCAGAATTAAACGAATTTGAGACAGTTAACGCTAATCTAGCTAGTTGTGAATATGACTCGAAGCTCAACATTTAATTAAGCTAGCAAATTTTAGCTGACCAAGCTGGGCTTATTGTCAAACCAAGAGAATTTAATCACAGGGAAGTCAACACCGCTGTTTATTTGCAGCTAAAGCGATACTAAAATACACCACAACACTTGCTCTTTATAGCTGTTTAGTTTGCACCAATAACATATACAAAGATTTGAGCTCTATTAACGTACAGTTACAAAGCTAACTGGCATCCTAACTACGATGTTGTGATGTGTGAAACAGCACTCCCTAAACTCAACAACCTCTGGACGATATCCACCAGCCAAGGCTGTAAGCTAATGTTGTCGCTAACAAACTAACCAGCCATCCAGCTAACGTTAGCACCCGATAGCTAGCTAGCTAACTGGCACAGCTCGGTAAAAGCAGGAATGACAAGCTAAGCTAGTCCTGTGTGCTCCGACGGCGTTAGCCGCGGTTTGCTAGCTACGGCGAAACAGAAAAACCATCAACACCCGTTCTGCCAAAACATGACAATATAAGCGCACGAACAAACCCAAGCCACAAGGAAATAAACGTCTAAAACAACCTTGTCTTCGGTTAAATGTATTTGAGATGGTAATCTTTACCGTTTCCATCGCTGGCTGAGGCAGAAAGTGCCGGAGAGGATAGTTTAGGCCTCTTGGCTGAAGGCGGGCCAGACTCCAGAACGTTCTCGGCCATATTTTTTTACGAATTAAAAATATATATATCCTCAAAAATAGGCGTCGTCGCCTATTTAGCGAGCCTTGATCTTCTGGTCGCCTTTAAAATTCGACTTTTCCCCCTCCTTTTGAGGGACGAAGGGGGGGAAAGTCCCGTGTACAAAATACTCCTCTTTCCTGGATTCGCCTCTCGATTTCAGCTTCGGCGTATCAACCCCCTCCCCAGTCCGATTTTTTGTTCTTTATAAATTTCTGCGAGCGGAGGAGGAGGCAGGGGGAGTCGGTGAGAGAGGATAAAAAAGACACACGTAGCAACTCCCGACCAACTCACCAAGTCCTAAATGAAGCTAGGAGCATTAATCGAGTGAATATGTTTCGTAATTTTGCTCGTTACTCTCCATCCTCGTTCGGAGGAGGTTTATTTTGCGGAATGAAACTGGTCGCAGTGGTGGAGGACGAAGCTAATATGAACTTCATTTCACCTAACTGTTAGACCCATACAAAAATGTTATGTTTATGTTGTATTTTCCTGACTGCTTCATGAAATATGTTTTTGACTGTTTGACACTTTGTGCGTTTAAAATATTTTTCCATTTTTGACAACATGGCGATGCTGTCAACATTTTCTTACGTGTGTTTATGCCATGAAACTGCACGAAAATAAATACTAGGCGTTATTTCACAAACATGTATCTTACACAGAGGCCTATACGCTATATTTCAATTTGCCTTTTAAAAATTTAAAAATTAAAAAAATTGCCTTTTAAATCAGGGGCCCTCAGCCCTTTTCACCTCAGTGTTCACATGTTTAGTAAGTACCCACAGGAAAATAACAAAAAAACTTTTTGCTTAAAAATATAATTTTTGGGAAATTCAACACAGCAATTTTTGGGTGCCACAACATGCCATGTGTATCACTGAACATTAAATATCAACAGATTAGGAGAAAATAAGCTTGTTTAATACCTGAAACCAGGTTGAATGATGGCAAATTAAGCAAAAATTTTCACTCGCAAATGGCCGATTGAAATTTTGGGACAGTATGTTTTGTTTCTGGAGACAGATGATTAAAATAGATAAAGCACTATTGTTGCATGACTTGCAGTAATTTTTTTCTTTGATTATTATTACAAAGTACCATCATTAGCCCAGTATGGACCACTGTCTCCTTCTCAGTACAGGCCCGAGGACCACCAGAGGGTGCTTCATGGCCCACTTGTGGCCCACGGCCCAGTGGTTGAGAATCCCTGCTTTAAAGAGTGTTGCGTACAGTGCCACTGGCAGCTTAGAGCAATAAGTTCACAATGTCCATTTTAGCAAGAACTAAAAAAATTTTGGGCAAGGTGTTGAGTTATTTAAAATGGTGTTACAAGCATGATTCAGTAACCCTGAGGTTTATTCTACAGTGGTGTTATTAGGATCTTATGGACCCTAGTGCGGAAAAAAAATACTTTCAGTACATAAAAAAAAAAATAAAATGTAATTTTATTGTTTACTTGCAGTTATAATGTCCAATACAAGTAGATGCTTTGGTATGCTACTCCACCCACTAGAATCAAACCTTAATGTTAACCTAGATGTTTATGTTAGACTACCTTTGTAAGATTTTACACATATAAGTAATGAATATATCATGTTTCAGGTTTTGACAGATCTGTTTGAATTGGTTACCATGGATGAGATGTATTATGAATAAGAGGGAAATAAACAGACATCAGATCTGTCTGTAGTGTTGATGGAAGCTAATGAATGATGTACGTCATGAAATATGGCCTTTCTGTGAGTCATGGCTATACAACTGTGTTAGTATCTATATGAGAGTCCAAATAAAGATTTTAGGGGGGATTGCAGCGAGTGACCTAGAGGATTCTTCAGTCACAAAAACCACAGTTGAGTGCCCCTGACCTTCAATTCCTCAGATGGCACTGCATTAAAACACAACATGCTTCTGTAATGTATATCACCACATGTCTCCGGAATAATTTGACAAGCCATTGTCAGTAAACACCATTCCTCACTGTGATGGTAAAATAGTGGAAAATCAGGAAAGAAATGTTTTCTTTGAGGACTATTCTGCTTTACAACACCTGCATGTACCCCTTCTCAAAACTGTAAATATGTCTCAGGCATCATGCAGTGTTTTTGTTAGCATTACATGCAATAACTTTCTGTGAGGAATCTTTTAGTGATATTAAACTCTTCAGCATTTCACATCAAACCACTTTAACATCTTAATGATTTAATTATGCAGAAACTTGTTACAAATGGTGGAATTCTCCTTTAAGGGCTCATTCAATGAAAAGAGTGTGCTTCATAACATTCCATGCTCTTTATTACAGACAGAAATCTGCTAATAAGTTTTTTTTTGTTTTTTTTTTGCAAGTGGCACTGCATTAAAACACAGCATGCTTCTGTAATGTATATCACCACATGTCCCCGGAATACTTTGACAAGCCATTGTCAGTAAACACCATTCCTCACTGCATCTTCAAATGTAGGTTAAGACTGTACTATGCACATTAGAAACCATATTTTAATGTCTAGAAACACCACAAACCTCTATGGGTTCAAGCCCATCTGAAATGGACTAATGCACAATGGAAACGTATCTGACAAATCAACCTTTTAGATTGTTTGTGGGAATAATGTATGTTGTGTTCTCCAGACAAAAGAAGATGAAGACCATCTATGGCTGGGTTTCCGGAAAACTATTTTAGCACAAAGATGATTCTTAAATGGTAGAGCAAGCATCACACTGAACCCTCTCTCTATAAGTTAGAATGATCTTTACACCAAGAGGCTTTGGGAAACTGGGCCCAAATTGTTAGCAGCATAAAGTTCAAAAGCCAGGATCTGTCATGGTGTGGGGAGTATTATTGGGTAACTTGAACATAGGTAAAGGCACCATTAACCCTGAAAGATATATACATTTTGAAGCAAAATATGCTGCCTTCTAGATGGCATCTTTTTCAGGGAAGTCTATGCTTATTTCAACATGGCAACATCAAACCATGTTTTGCAGGTTCTACAACAGCATGGCTGCATAATCAGAGAGTGAGAGTGATAGACTGGCCTGCCGGCAGTCTAGACCTGTCTCCCTTTGAAAAGGTGTGGCGCATTATGAAGCACAAACACAGCATGTGAAGGCCCCATAAGGTTGCGCAGTTAAAGACTTGAGTAACAGAAGACTTACACTGGATTGGTTTGTATCTTCAGTCCCCAAACGATTGTTTTGTGTTGTTAAAAGGAAAGGTGATGTAACACAGTGGTAAACATTGTCCTGTCTCAACTTTTTTGCAGCGTGTTGCAGGCATCAAATTTGAAGTGAGTTCTTAGAGTAAAACATCAAATATGTGTTTTTGTACTGTTTTCAGTGTAATAGAAGTTAAACAGAATTTACTAATGACTGCTTTCATTTTTATTAGCTCACAAAGATTGGAACTCAAATCACAAGTCTTAAAAAATAATCTAGTTTGGGGAAACAAGTTACGCTCACCCCAAATGTACTTAATCTGTGAAGACATCTTTGGTATACAAAGTTTACTATTTTATTTTTGCTTTTGGCCTGTAAGGATAATGTCACTAACAAGTAATGAAAGCTTATACCTACTAATTATCATTGTGCAAACTTCATGCCTACATCATCATACAGTTCAAACTAGGTTAAATAATTTCAAGGCCTCAAACTTGTTTGAGTTGTTAAGTGATCTCACATAGACCTGCCTATGTAGTTTCTGACACCATACAACATACCATAAAAATGGACAAAACTATGTGTATGTTTTAAAGAGGAACTCATGGTTTGATGTGAAATGTTTAAATGCAGAAAAACTTACTAACTAATTTCTTTACAGTGGTGTTGATAGGAAGCAGGAACCAATGTCTACAGCACAAATATAGCCATTTTATTAACTATCCAAAACCACCAGTGAATTTTTGCAAGGCGTCTGAGTTGTATATGTAATGTTGGTGATGGTAAAATAGTGGAAAATCAGGAAAAAAATGTTTTCTTTGAGGACTATTCTGCTTTACAACACCTGCATGTACCCCTTTTCAAAACTCTAAAAATGTCTCAGGCATCATGCAGTGTTTTTGTTAGCATTACATGCAATAACTTTCTGTGAGGAATCTTTTAGTGATATTAAACTCTTCAGCATTTCTCATCGAACCGCTTTGACATCTTAATGATTTAATTATGCAGAAACTTGTTACAAATGGTGGAATTCTCCTTTAAGGGCTCATTCAACGAAAAGAGTGTGCTTTGAGTCCATAATATTCCATGCTCTTTATTACAGACAGAAATCTGCTAATAAGTGCAAATGGAAAAGATGTGTTTTTTTTTATTTGCAGCCATTTTAACATGTTTGTATATACAGTCATTAAAGTTTCCTCTCAAATCAAATGTCAATCAAATGTTAACAGTTCTTTATGTTTCTTTGCAATGTTTACTGAAAAGTGATTTAATTAACTGTATATATGTATATGTATATATATATATATATATATATTATATATATATGTGTGTATATATACATACATACATACATATATATATATATATATATATATATATATATATGTATATGTATGTAATGATTCTAACAGTTCCTCCAGTCATGATTATAAAGGACTATTATTCCATGTTGTTACATGAGGACACTGCATAAAGACAGGCTGCTATGAACAAGGCAATTAAGCAAACTATATTTTGGTTTCTCAGTGTGATTTTCTGAGTGTTGAAACAGAAAATCTATTAAAATCCAGCAGACACAAGCAAAAAGAGGTAGAAAATTTTGTCACTGCGCTACCAAAGCTAACTTCATTTTTTCAATCAGAACTGAGTGCTGCACAGACTGAGCAGACTGTACATAACACTAATGGTAATGTTAGTATAGACAGGTCCAGTGTAATTACTCCAAAAAAACAAACAAAAAAACTCAAGTTTCTAGTTACTTGGAAAAAGTAATCTCATTACTCATCACTACTCTTTGTTACTCTGTACTAAATTATTTCACTATG